GGCATAAAAAAGGTTACATACATTATACATACTTTCTAACTCCGTTGGAAAGGAAGCATTACACACCATTTTCTATTTTAAAATAACCATGCTCATATTCTATAAGGAAAACATGAATCACCATTGAGAACAGGATCCATCTGGTTCTATAAGGTGCCAAATATAGCTAGAGCCAGCAAGGGATCCTTGGTGGACTGGGGGGCATGAGGGGGTTAATTTAATAAGCCCAGTTATTAGGCATGTTCACATACATGCTTGTCCCATGATGTTCCACCCGTGTCTACGCATGGTGTAATGGCAGAAAGGAAATGCCAGCCCCTCTAAGAGTCACAGATGACCGGGCTGCCTCTGCAGTTGTTCCCGGGCACAATTACCCAGTAAATCAAAAGGGGACCAAGGTGATTGCCCTCCCTTGAATTAAAGTCAGTTGCTTCCTCCCCTCCGTCTCAGACATGGGCAAACGTTCAATATAATATTGTTGTAGTTTTTGCAGCTCGATTACAAAACCTGCCTGGACCACCCGCAAAAGGCCGGAGGACGGATTGAGCAGGTGGAAATTGAAAGGAAACGGGGTGCAGGGGAAATCGATCAAGACAGAATATGAGAAAGGAAGAGAGGAGAGGAACTAAAGCCCACATTTGAGGGCGAGGTACAGGGTAGAGTACACGCAGAGTCAAATCAACTCCCAAATTAAAAAAAGAGAGAATGTTTCCATAATTAGTTTGGGTGTCGAAGTGAAACACGAGTTGGCCCCTCGGTTGGGGCAGCTGCAGCCTGGCTTTTAAGATCAAAATCAAAAGACGGCAACAGTGGGTCCGACAAGACCAAGAGGAAAACACAGAAGCAATGAGGAGAACATTTCAGTCAGTCCACCACCTCCCCTAATGGTAACGCATCCAAACAATACTGCAATGCCATGCAACCTTATCTTAAGACAGACTTAGAGGAACAGTCCAACACATGGTCAATACATGGTCCTTTATACGTCACTGTATATTACCATCACCCTATTGTAGAGATCACACCAATGTCAATACTGATGATGCAGAAATCAAGAGGCATGTTAGTCTCCAAGTAGAACAGAAAAAAGTCTAATGACCCTAAAACAACAGTCTATATCCAATCATCATAGTTCTTCATGTTAGTCAATACAGTCGATCAATGCACAGATTAGAAATGTGTTTTACGTTACACCGAAGATATAGAATGGTTTTGCAAAAGATTCAGGGTAGTGTCGTCTCAAGACAGAAAAGCTTTGAATTCAGAGTGGAAGAGAAAAACACATTATTTATTATTATGTATTTATGTATATTTAACTCTACTTCAGGTTCAAGTCAAAATATTCAACACAATTTTTGCAAAAAATAAATAAGAAATAGATATAGACAGATATATAGACCTTGTACATTGCGACATCACATCGCAATGACTGCAATTACGATGTTGCGATTTTGGGAGCATAGGAGCATTGGAATGGTAGTTATTATAGTTAATAACTATTATTATAATAGCAACGTTTTTGGTCATCGTTTAGTAATTAATCATGAAATGATTTGTCATTATGGGGAGACCTTGTTGTGTTTGAAACTGCCACAGCGTTTCTCATGCGAGACATGGCAAAATAAAGTTTTAATTGGCCTAGGTTAAGGTATATTTAAGTTGATTTAGGATTTTACAAAAAATCCCATGATGCATTCTGATGTACAAGCCCTATATTTGGAATGAAAAAGTGAAGATCTATACCTGATGCAGCTGTAGTGTTTGAAGGTGCTGGCTGCCTTCTGACACTCCAGACAGAGCTGGATGGCGCCTGGGTAATCTTCCTCCTGCAGGGAACATGAGCAGGAAGGTTAACAAGCAGCTTCTCGCCCGAACATCAGCAGGTTAACGAGCAGCTTCTCGCTCGCTCATAGGGAGCGAGAAGCACTTTGACATTTTATTGTGAGCAATGTTTACGGCTCCACTGTTAAAAGACCAGAAAAATCAGAAATTGCTCTATTTTACTTTAGTTATTGGGTCATTAGTGAATCAGTGTATGGTTTTGTGTGGTCAATGTCTTGATAATTTCCAATATATATAATGATCTCTGAACAATGTCTAATAATTGGTAAATAAACAGACAAACGGACATGTGCATGTAAAGAACAAAACTCAGTTGTAGTCACACCAATAGTAGCTACTAAGCCACCGTTACAAATAGAAACTTACTATAAATCTCTACTGTTTGATGATTGACCTTTAAAGTACACTGTGTGTGGTTGTGTGTGTGTGTGTGCGTGGGTGTGGGCGTGCGTTGTAACTGTACCTCAAGCATTTCACTGAGTCTTACATCTGTTCTTTGCTGCGAGGAGAGGAGAAACACAAAGGGGGGGGGGGGGGGGGGAGGGGGTATTAAAAACAGAGCAGGGGGATTTCACTTTACATTTATTCTTGTTCTGAATCGGGTTTCTTCTGTGTTGAAGACTTTCGCGGGGAGATCAGGGGCACTGCGTCAGCACAAAAAGGAGGATCAGCGGGGCCTGTAGCTGCACGGGGGGTCAACCTGGGTGTTATTCTCAAGGACGTACCAGCGGGGTAAGAGCAGGCTTCTTGTTCAACATCAGCCAGGCTCTCGACTCGGCCTTCACATTCAGCAATATTTGGGTTGCACCATCAGGATTTTTTTAGGCCGATACCGTTCACCCATTTTTTTAATGTGTGATCAGCTGATCCGATACCGATCACCTGTTGGTTTTTTTTTACAGTTAAATATAGGCAAGAATTGTCCTGTTTTTTCCACAAATAAATTGAGCCAAAACAATTCAAATATTAAGCAACATAAATAACCAGTATGTAAAGGAAGCGTCTACAGTTTCACATAGATTAATATAGGTTGCCTATGCCAGAACTTTGACATTAGAACAGATCTGTATTCGTGCAACACACAGACTCATTGTGAAATCCGTGCCCATGAAAAGAGTGCCGTCAACGGCTTCACTCACGAGCTCAGCCCGGGGGTCCAGTGCCAGCGGACAGCGCTGTTATAAACTCTAGGTTTCAAGAAAGTAGTAGTGGCAGTACTGTGGCTGCAATCGTTTAGCTACCCAACGCTTAGGTTATGCCGTTTAGAGATATTATTATTTGGCAAATCGCTCTCGCTCATCTTCCATTAAAGCAGCGGAGTAGCCAGTTAGTTTCACATGAAGCAGAAGGAATTAGCCGGGAGCAGCCTCATCCTATGAGGTTATACTTCAATAGTTTCAACTAACACAGGACTTCCGTTAAATTCAGGACAAGCATTAATTTTCTCAGTGACTGAATATAATAAATGCACGCCTTGTCTACAATTATAGTCGTTTTTGAGTCATGTGATCGGCTCCTGTAATCGGCGACATTTTTAAGTTAATGGGTCGGTCACCGATCGAGTGTTTAGGGCGTATATGGGCCGATAATGATCGGTGGCCGATCGATCGGTGCATCGCTAAGTGAGATGTTTGTATGTATTTTAGAGAGAGAGAAGAGAGAGAGAGAGAGAGAGAGGGCAGTGATATTACTAGTGATATTAAACTACTCATGTACTTTGTGTCAACACAGGTTGTGAGCACCAATCCTGCATTATACCAAACATAAAAATAACAACAAAAACGCACCAGAGTCTTGATGGTCCGGAGCGACTTCAGCAGTCCTGTGAGAAGCTGTCGTCTCCTCTGATTGGCCAGCAGACCCAGGCTGGCCTCGGTGAATCCTTCCTTGGACACACCCAGTTGCCTGTAGCCGGCACCACGGAGGAAAAGAAAGACGGAGCGTTAGCATCGCTTCAAAGCATGTCACACCGCTGCAAACAAAACAAATTGCCATGAAAAAACACTATATTGCTCTTCTCATGCATAAAAAATATTATCAAAGGAATGACAAATGGGAAATATAAGGTTGTGCCTTCCCACCGAAATGTAATTCCATCGGCATGTCAATTAGATGGGTCGGTTGTGAGGGAGCGAGTACAACAAAATAACGTGAATTACCTTCTTGCGTTAGTGCAGATGACAGCTGCTAGCTGTAAATTGGTTTGAAGCGCAGTCACTCTCTCCAGCTCCTGCAAAAACAATAGACACCGTTAGGCGTCTAAACCCCAAAGCACCCAGTCCTACAGTTCTCACAGCATTGGTTACATGGACCAGGATGAAAATATATTTCCCCTGCCACACACGGAAAGATTATAACGGTGATAGTGTCAGAACCCAAATCACCGTATTTATTATGATAAAAGGTTATTAGAAAGAAGGGAAAAATAATGGTTGGAAACGATTGAATACCAGTTGACAGTTTTGGCATGTAATCTATAGCTTCCATCAGGAGAGGTGGCAATGAGTCAAATCGACGTGCGCTGCTGGCCTTGGCACCCTGGCACTCTTGTTTAAGATTGGTATTCCAGGTGTGAGTGTATTTTTCTACTTCAAGAACCGGACCGTAATGTGGTCCTGGTGTGCTCTGTGGTCTGAGATGGCGCGGAGGGTTTGCTTGCTCAGTGTGCAGTTTCCTTCCCATACGTGAATGAGGAAAGGTGTGACGACCTCGACACTGACGCCCAGAAGGTCATACCTGAGCAGCACATATCACCTGGACATCTTGGGACATCTCTCCAAGGAAAACTGTGGAGCCCTGCACCCAAACTGACGAAGGCAATCAAACCCCTTTCAGGTGATGTGTCCAACAAACCCCTACCAACAGTGGCCCAACTATAACAGGGTATCTGCAGGTTTCAACCAGTTCAATTTAAGACTGTTTAATACCTTTTTAATACCTACCACAATTGAATACCGATTTCACTGTTTGAAAGCATGCACATTTATTTGTATTGTTATTTGTTTACGTGTCCAAATTCTGTCAGTTTATCTCAGTAGTGCTGCTTATCTGGCATGCACCTCCATGGTACCCTGCATTATGATGATGACCAAATTAATAGATGATGGTGGATAAATGATCTGGACAGGCCCGATAAACGTGGACCTGTCTAGCTCAATGGCCCTGTCTGTCTCAAACGGCAGAGAATGGAATTCACCACTGTCAGGGTTCTGGGTTCGATTCCCAGTGGGGTCCACACTTGATGAAAATGTACCGGTATGTACTTTAAAGACACTTTGGATAAAAGCGTCCAAAAAATGAATATTATATAAGCTAATAGTTTAATGTGCCACTAATGGAGAGGAGAGGGATTTAACCAATGATCGAACAAACACATCCTTGGCAACACACACACACACACAGCCAATCACTCCGAACATTGCCACCCTGCTGAGGACACTTCATAACGATGAACACGGTCGTTCCCGATGCATTAGTGTCAGACAGTTAAAACCATTTTGCTCTACACCCGACAAAAAAAAAAAAAACAGCCCGGGAGCGACGTGGCCTGGGGAGAGCTTAGAGAAGGTTCAGCGGACCATCAGCTGCAATCAACAAGCTTATATTCACTTAGTTCTTGTTTTGATGTGCCAGCTGTCCTGCCTTAGGTGAGCGCACGCTTGTCTCTTAAAAAACATTGAGCGTTGTGTGACCCTCTGTTCAAATCCAAAATAAAAGGCCTCCGACCTCGTAATACTGTCATGTCTAAGACAACTGAGTATACGGGCCGTGGCAATCGCTTTCACCGCTGATAAAACGGGCATGAACGAGGCCATTGATAAGAGACGACTGCATCAATGGGCCTCTTTGAAAGGGATCTCGCCTCATGATCTAAAGTGCCCAATTACATGGCTTACCGTTTCCAAGAACAGTTGAAAAGGGCCGATTCAACCGACGGGGCCATGTCTCCGAGGTGGTATTCTGCATGCGTTCGTCATGCTCCTCCAGCGTGCAAGTGTCAAATTATGGAGGTTTGCCAATATCACCGTGTTCCAAAAACATGCTTCAAGGGGATAGGTTTCAGGACAATGGGATGACTTCGGAAGAAGTTATTCTCGTTTAGGAAACTTCATCCGTGATTCAAAAGTGATGTTGTTCTTCTATTAATTGTCATTTTAGTCATTATTACACTCAATTGGCGAGTCATTTTATTGATTACCATCTAGTGACTACAGACACCACTACACTGTAAACTTTACTACACACATATTTGGTTTTAAGGTTTTGTTTTACACGTTAGGATTTAGGGTTAGGCATGTCAAAAAAGTTGAGAGCCCGTGGTCTGCTGGAAGTGACAGGATCCACTGCTACTCAGGAACAACTCTACTATAAGCTGAGCCCTCAAAGGCGCACAGTGGACACCAGACACCATGCAAACACCTCATTAGCTCCACTAGTACACACTTCCCTCCAACTGTTCCATGGCTGACCTCAGACTCAACAATCAATAGACCTGTGTGTTGATATACAACCACTGTAAACCCAACCAAGCGACACCACAAGGCAAGGAGGGAGTAGACCCAACTCAACTTTTAATCCTTGCCAAAGGTCACAGTGACGGCCAAGTTATGAAAGCAGTACTACAAAAGAGAGAGTGATATATAAAAGCTTGCGGCACAATACACTGGTCCCATGCATTTTCAATGTGGGCCGTTTGTCTTGTTTTGGTTTCCTCAGAGGCTTAGCAGCAAAATGGCCGTGGCCCTGCATCCGCCATCCATCATCACAACCCTAATTCTGAACACCACAGCATGTGTGACACATATAGTTTAAAGAAGTAACCCACGGTGTGTGCACGCACGCACGTGCACACACACACACACACACACACACACACACACACACACACACACACACACACACACACACACACACACACACACACACACACACACACACACAGCTCAGACAGTTCAGCTCTTGTTAGTGGAGAAAGAACAGTAAACAACAAGAGAGAGGTCCGGAATTGTAACTCAAAAAACAATGGTTTAAAAAGACATTTAGACACATAGGTGCCCATTATAACCATCCACACACACAAACACAAACGCACACACACACACACACACACACAATTGAAAAATGCAATTACTGTTGAGGTAAAGCACAAAGCAAATAAATATAAATAAATACTGTCTGTCTTCCTGACATAAAGTGACAGGTCCAGGGTAGTGGGAAGCGAAGGTCAGAAGAGAGGAGGAGATGTTGAGCCAGATGGAAGTTTCTTTTTGCTGGGCTTTCCCTATTCATATATTCAGATCCAGTGGCACCCTGTGACCCTTCAGCACATTGACTATGTATCGGCTGCCTATTCCACATCATCCTCCCCTCCCCATTCTAATGATGCTGCTTTTAGGGCATGTGGCCCAGCGGCACTTTAACAGCTACCGGCCTGATGTAGGGGACCATGCAGTGACGCCCAGAGAGAGCAAGGACCATTCAAATAGAGGCAACGTGTTATTTTGCCAAAGCATCATGCGGTGGGTTAGTCGCTCCAAATCACTTATGGCCCTGCAGGCGCATGTGAGAACTCGGCTCTCCCCTGCGCATTACTAGACTACATACGCTCCCTGCCACCTTAGTTCAAAGTCAATTTTGTGGTCTCTCTCGAGCTGGGAGAGTCAGGAGACAGCGCATTTGATTGGGAGCTGCAGCAGCCTCCGTAGCAGGCGAATATAGGATACCCAATTTATTTGGATTGGAATGTGGGCAATCGAGAAGTGTTAGACAAAGGTCCTTAAAGGACAGGGCGTGGACGGTAAGCCCCGCCACTTCAGATTAATAGACTAGCAGTCAGAGTTCATTCGTTTCCACTCGTGTTGAGTGCAGCACCGGCGTTCCCCCCCCCCCCCCCCCCCCCCCCCCCCAAGCACGTCATTACAACGAGTCATTACAACTGGTAATACCAGCAGGGTGATCGGCCTCTGCTGTCTTGTCTGGTTAACAACCAACCTGGGTTTGAATCAAGTCAAACAAGTGTTAATCCTCTATGTGTCCAATCCATTGAACTCTACACCATGGTGAGAAGAGATAAAGTCAGGGGTTACATGGAGGTCACCTGGTAAGCTTCATACATTTATGGAACATGCACTCTGAGGTGGTGCAGTCGTTCTTTGGGTAAATCTTTGAATATCTTTGGAAAATCTTGAAAGACTGAAATCTTCAATAAGAATATAAAAGGATCAATAGACATTTAAATATGGTGGTGAAAGAAAATAATACAAATATTCTCAGGGATTTTAAACAGCTGCATGACCTTCTTGCAAATGCACAACCTTGCTCCTGCCTTGACCCAACATTTCTCAAGGTCTGACCCAAGCAGCAGCAGCCGGTATGGGTACCCTAACCCAATGATACAACAATCCTCCACCTCCACCATCCCACAACAACCCTCTTCTGGTTAAGATAAGATTAGATTGTGTTAATCCCAAAGGAAGCTCAAGATAGGACAGTGTTGAGACAAAAAAAAAAAAAATTGCAGGAGAAATACACAATACACAAAAGAATCTAAGTGAAACGAGATAAATAGTCAGCAGAAATACAAAAAAAAATGTTATATTGCACAGGGGTAAAATATTGCACACATGAAGTGGTAGGCCCACTTTAAACCACCTCTTTGCAGAAAGGGGAGGAGTTAAAAAGTTGAATGCTTGACCGTGAAGCAATGTGTGGAGATCGAGGTTGGCAAGGTTGATTTGCACAGTTTCATCTATTGCACCACTGCATCCCTGCATCTTATATTCACTTTGTATTTATTTTTGTACATATTTGATCTTATTTTTATTCTTTAATTTCTTGATATTTTTATTTTCATTTACTCTGTTTAGGTAATTGCACTATATGTACCATTGCTGCTATGACGACTGAATTTCCCTTCGGGGATCAATAAAGTTTGTATCTATCTATATATCTATCTATCTATCTATCTGCTGGTGCTTGAACTCCCCTAGGCCTCCAGGGCACATGGTTATAGATGCCATCTAAGGGCTTAAACAGTGCACAGTTCAACAGTTTACAACCTGGCCCACGGCATCATTATGTCAGTGTCTACACACACCAAGTGAGCACTGGAGTCAGCGGGTCCATACATCAGTGCTTACTAGGAGTGCAAATGTGTACTCGAGTCAAACAAAAATCGTTTTGTAGTCATGTTCCCGTCATCTTACAAATACATTATTTATTATGTTGATATGTATTTTGGCAAAGTTTTGGAGCAGGCTTTATTAATAAATAGTCAAAAGCTTTCAACGTTGTGCAGTCATGCATTGTTGTGGAGAGGCTGTATAAAATGGGTTTGTTCACCAATGTTTAGTAGTTGGCCTGGGAGGCGGACTTCCCCACACGTTCCACAAGTTTTATTATAATAACCGTCCATCAGGAATGGCCCGATATCAAAACTGAAAGTGAACTGTATAGCAGCATATCACTGCTGTGGTGGTGTACTAAAAAATAATCACATCTCAATGGCAGCTTTGAACGTCGTTTTTTTTTAAGAAGGTCACTGGCACCCGGCGTGTCTAGCGGTGTATATCTGCACAGGAGACAGGGCTCCCAAGAGAAACCTTCGGGCAGAAGCACTCCTCTTTATAGAGCCATCATTTGGTCAATATTTCTACACAATCAAACAATTATAAAGTGGCCCTAGCCTGCCCTGAACAGTAGCGTAACTAAAACACAATTAAACTGGATACACACCATGTTTCAAAATGTCAGCAATGACATTTTTACATGACATAATTAAAATTGCTATTTAGAAGTGTATCCTGTTATTTCCTTTTGAGTACAACAGTACTAAAAAGCAGGTAAAAAACAGCATGACCAGCTAAGCTTCGGTGTGGGTGTAACCAAGGTTATTATCATTAATGAAAACCAACAAAATAACAAAAACTACGTGTAAAAAAACATTTTCATTAACTGAAATTAAAATGTTGACTAACTAAAACTGTGTTTACAAAACTAACTGAAATAAACAAAAATGATAGAGAAAATGTCTTACTAGTTTTCATCTGTCAATGTATTTCCTACATAAGCCTAGTATTTTGGGAGGATATGAAATAATGTTTTCTTTCTCAGATTGAGCTCCCTGAGACTCCTGGGCCCTCATGTATCAATGTTGTGTACAAAGAAATCTGTGCATCAACAATGCGTACGCAGTTTTTCGACAAAATGTGGGATTTATCAATTTGTTCTTGGCTT